CATTAATTGTTCTTCATTTATTGCTCATTATTGGTCATAAAGAGCCGCCATCAAATTTATCATAACTGTTAATCCTCCATCGACTTCCCTTAGTCGGGCATCCGACTCGACCTCGAGGCCCCGTATGCGCAAGCTCAAGGCCCCGACTTCCAGCCATTCGGTTTGATTGTTACACTATCTATAAGCTCTTATCTTATCTTCTAATCTTTCACTTAGCATTTATTGCCTAACAACTAGCATAAAAACAGATCACGTGTTTTTAGAATTACATAATCAAATCTAATTGTAATTACTATTTTCAAGGTAAACAGCGGAGTTGAAGGAGAAACTCAAAGAGGTGGAAGAAGAAAAAAATAAGCTGGAAGAAAAATAAGTAGTGTATCTTTATGTTTCCTATATCATGTGTTTTCATTAGTTTTACTGAATTTAGGTTATGTTAAGTTTCTATGTTTGTATTTGTGTTGTAGTGTTAGAATAAAGAAGAAACGGGGTAATAAAAACATAATGCATATATTATGTAAGCATAAAATATTGTTGTTATTATTTACATAAAATACAAAAAAAGAAAATCAATGAGTCCCACAACCCATGTGCTTCAATGCAGCCGTTGGCCTGAGGCGCATCCCATCCCGCCCGGATACACTATCAGGATCATCCTCATCACATCGCCTCTTTATATGAGGATACGCTGCAACATGATCATCAATTGGGCTGGCAGGGTCGGTAGAAGAGGTCGTCGGTCCATTATCAACCTACAAAACAATAAGTAAGCTTGGTATATGAAAATGTATATTAGTAATGTACGCGTTAAGTCAAAATCATTTTCTTACCATGGTCTTGTCGGGCTCCTAAATATAAGCATCCGTGGTGTCCTCAACATCGCACAAAGTGGCCTCCGTGACGGGCTGGGATGAAGCCTTAATAAGAAAATTAAAAATTAATTTATGGCGAATCCATGAGGAAAAAAAATAAATTAAAATTTAATAGTAATACAAACATACTTGCGCCTATGATAGATCCACATCACCCGACGACGATGAGCCAAAACTCAACCTGTGCCCACCATTCACGTCTCGTGCCGGCCGATCCTCAGATGCGGTTGATGGGCCTGAAAAGAATTGCTCCCAATCTCTGGTGAAGCTTGTGCCCGTAATCAACAATGGATCTGACGAGGTCACCTACGATGCTGCCAGCGATAGCTGAAGGCTGTACGACGACATGCTGTTGGGATGCTCGTCTGGCTGAGGAATGTCACACGGCAGATCAGCTCCAACCTCCTTATTAGGTGCCTCAATACCCCCTTGCTGGGGACCACCTCCTCGCCGTCCCCCACGACCCCGTGAGCACCCCTGCCTCGTCTCTGTCCCCTCGGGCGTGCGACGGGCCTACCCCGATGGTAGTGCTCTGGCTCCATATAACTAGGGTCGTGATCTAAGCGCTCGCCCTCTCTGGCTCGATGTAGTGTCCGGACAACTAGCTCTATCACCTACCGACCATACTCATGCAAAGCGACTGCAGGATCGCCGACATGTTGCTGCATCTGCAGTCCCAACTGGTGGAATAAATGTAGACCAATAGCCTGCACAACATGTAAAATATTAATTACAAAACGCTATATCACAGTTATAAGTAAGAATACCAAATAACATATCAGTGCCTCGTGCCTCCCGGCGTATGGTCTATACCGACCACCAACTTGATGAATGAGATTCCCGACAAAAAGTCGGGTAACGCGGCAGTACCAGGACGTATAGAGCTGAATAGTCGTCGTCTGGATCTGTGAAGGTGGGGGTGGAATCAAGTCAACTCGCTTGTCCCAAGTATGGACCTGCGCCTCTAGACATGCTACAAATGCGTCGTCCGCCCTGGAACAATCATCCCGCTGATAATGTGTAGCCTCCCATGTAGGCCCCTTCGGTATATACTGCGGACGACCAAACTAGCAAAGTACCTGCTCCGTGGCATAATGCTCCACAATATCAAGGCACATCAGCGGGACGGAAGTGCTCTAAATCAGTCGGCCGACCGAGCAATAATCGGCAGTCCACCTATCAAGTCGTCGATGTATGGCGTCCAGATGAACTATCAAATAAGAACATAAAAGTGAGTATACACAACACAAGTGAATCTATACCAAGTAAGTTTAGGTACACATTTACCTATGTTCCCTCCAGCATATCCAACACATCCCTACAAAGGGGGAGATTATGATGAGCATCATAATCTCGTACATATCCACACTGGGGAACCCACCTCCTAACTAGAGGGAGAAACGGAGGTGGTACATCTGGAGGTAATGGTGGTAGAGGTGGCTACAACTACAGGAATCGCTCCCAAGCCCAAACCTAACATACAAAGTTGACATAAAGTTTTGACTAGATAGAATTGGGAGTAATGAACAGAGTATTCGAATATGTTGTCACTTGTAGAAGCGACAGAAAATCACATATGTCACTCTGGGTGCCCATGCTCGCCCGACACAGATGCTTATACATGTAAGCGAGAACAACAGCACCCCAGCTGTACTGGGGTAAAGCATCTAGCAGTTGAAGATGATGTAGAAATCGCAAACACGCTAGATTTCCCGAAGTGTTCGGGAACAAGACCCCCCAAAAAGAAGGAGTAGCACCAACCTCGTATACCGGTAAATATATAGATCATTTGTCTCGCCGGTAATGTCGGGGTGCAATATCTCCATATGATGTCTCATAGTTTTCAAACTCGTATGGCTGGCCTCTGAATGTACAGTCTCATCCTGTGGCCTGAAACCAGTGAGTTGTTGCAGCAAGTCCAAATACTGCACACGCGTCATATATCTCATAACATGTGGCAGTGCAACAGGCAGTCCATCAACAGGCATCCCATATAAAACCTCCATGTCCTGCAGCATGATGGTGGCCTCGCCAATGAGTAAGTGGAAAGTGTGCGTCTTCGGTCGCCACCTCTCTATCAAGGCCGTGATCAGAGACCAGTCGAGCTGTAGCCACCCAATCTGAAAAAATCCTATAGAAGCCAGTATCCCGCAGGCGCTGGACTACACGGGGATAGAAATCTCTGCCCCTCATAAAGTCCCACAAGTCGTCCACTCTCCTGGCACGGAGAGGCTGGGCCAGTAGCTCTCCTCCCATATGTAGGTGGACCTATGATCGCTCTGTAACACTAATAGCTCATCGGAGACATGTCCAGGATGCACAGGCGGCAAACAATATTAATTGTGTGTTTGTTTTATAAATTAAATAATTAATTTTTGTAAATTATAATTGGACAAAGTATATACCTATAGATTTCAGGATCGATATTTGAGACCTAGTAGCACCAAGTTATCCTGAATTCTTATGTGTGTCAATTTTAATATTTTTCATAATTTTGTGTGTTTGTTTTATAAATTTAATAATTAATTTTTGTAAATTGTAATTGGACAGATTATATACCTATGGGTTCCAAGCTCGATATTTGAGGCTCGGTAGCACCAAGCTATCATGAATTCTTATGCGTGTCAATTTCAATATTTTTCATAATTTTGTGTGTTTGTTTTATAAATTAAATAATTAATTTTTGTAAATTGTAATTGGAAAGAGTATATACCTATGAGTTCCAGGCTCGATATTTGAGGTCCAGTAGCACCAAGCTATCCTGAATTCTTATGCATGTCAATTTAAATATTTTTCATAATTTTATGTGTTTGTTTTATAAATTAAATAATTAATTTTTGTAAATTGTAATTGGACAGAGTATATACCTATGGGTTCCAGGCTCGATATTTGAGGCCAAGTAGCACCAAGCTATCCTGAATTCTTATGTGTGTTAATTTTAATATTTTTATAATTTTGTGTTTTTATTTTATAAATTAAATAATTAATTTTTGTAAATTGTAATTGGATAGAGTTTGTGTTTGATCTATAAATATAATATATACTTAAACTACATGGATTCTACGCTAAAAGGCTCTACATTTTACTACGCTAAAAGGGCACTAGTCTTTAAGCAAATAAATAATCTAAACTAAATAAAAACAATAAATATATTTTAATAATATAACATTCACAAAATTATATATAAAACAGTAAAAGAAATTTATGAACATTTTTATTAACAAAAAAATGATTTCTCAATCGTTTAAATATTTTTTTAAAACACTAATATCTTAATCCAGATAAAAATAAAATACTAGTTTAATCGCAAACAAAACACAAAACAATATGGAAACACATTCAAGACAACTAATATGCATTATTATACGAGTTTCGACATAGATTAAATCGGAATACCTCGATTTATGTTTTTCGAAAAGTCGATAAATTGAAATTTTGAGCCCAAAACGAGGAAACAACAACAATAGAAAGTTTGCGTAGGATGTGGGACCTACAATCTTATTTTTTTGTGTGACAGGTGGGGTCCACTCGGATTTTTTTTGGAGAAAAATTGGGGGAGGGGGACCGCAGTTTTGTTTTTTTAAAAATGGGGGAAGAACGTCTGGTTTCTATCGTTGGGAAAGAAGGAGGGTTTATTAATGAGCAGGTATAGCGCGGTATATAAATGCGCTAAACACAGTATAGCGCGATTATATAATGCGCTATACATATCCATCGCATCAGGTCAGCATAGCGCTGTTTATTCCTGCGCTATACATATATAACGCGGTTTTACACCACGTTATACTTTAACGGCCAGAACATCGTTAAAATATAGCGCGGTGTAAAACATCGTTAAAATATAGCGCGGTGTAAAACCGCGTTATATATAAAAATATACCTTTTTTAAAGCATTAAAAACGTATCTTGAGTCAAAATCAACAACATTTATGTTCCGGAACCTATCCATCAGCAGCTAATATTTGCAAGACTTAATTTAACTTGCTAATTCAGTAGCTTGAATTGCTGCGTAAACTGAAAACACTGTGAGATATATACAGACAGATGAAAATGACTGAACATATCTTTTCAATGGAGAGGTGAAAGTCGATATAAACAAAGATGTCATATTTTTTCTTCTTATCATAGTTGGATTGAAAGAAAACTTAAATTTTTTGTCCTACATATGTAAATTTAGGTTTATTGATTGCTGATTTGCTGACAAGATGAGCAACAACACAAATCTTATTCAATTATTCACAAACCTACAGTCCTTGCGAATTTCTCCTTCTTTCCCTAGCAAAACTTTATGGCTCGAGAGTTTTAAGAATCCTGATGTAAAGCTGTTAAAAAACTGCTGCTGATCGCTTGCAAATCCAAGGACATAAGGTTTTGTTCTTTGATCACTTGAAATCTCAGAATCAATCTTGAGTAGTCCTCTTCCATTAAGTATTGCATTGAAGTAACGATTATCAAATGCAAAAGTAGTAGCATCATTGGTTGCAAAAGTGACATTAGATAAAAATGGATTGCTGCAAATCACCAGTAAAGTGAGTTTGAATGATGTTGACAATGTAGGATCCTCTGTAGGTTGCAATCGCTTCTCAAAGTTCCGGCAATGGCTAATGCCTAGCGTGTGTGCCCCTGCATCAAAATCGCTCAAATGTGATGTATTTGAGTGGACATAGAGTTTAAGAAATAACTAAGGCTTTTAACGCATACCAAAAGTACTCTAGAACTTATGGTCTTTAACGTGCTATGTACTTTTTATGCCAAATATAGAAATGAGTCAATTTGTCTTTTGAAACGGACTGAAAAGGAACGAGTATCATATAATACGGGACAGAAAAAGTAGTTTGTACCAATAAGGGCTACTCCTTCTTGGAGAGTGATATTCTTCTGCTGGAAATTTTTAATGAATTTGTCAACAGAAATGTCTGCAGCTGGAAGCTGTTTATCAGCTCTCTCCTTGCTTGACAATTTACCATCTCTTCGTCCGGTCAAAATCTCTATATAAGGTCCTCCTGCCTGAAAACACAAAACATTCCTTGTGAAATAACACAAAAAACACAATGGAGCCGTTTCGGGTTACATTTCGTTGGATACAATCTAGGGTGGAGCTAGGTGAACGCAAGAGGGTTTAATTGAATCCCCTCCGTCAAAAGGTCAAATCCTAGGTATAGCTTTTTGCTTCTTTTTAAATCCCTTTTAGAATTCCTGGCTCTATATGTGTACCTGTTGGTCAATATTGCATGACAATTATTATGAGATGCGCTATTTTTTCAAAAAATAAACCATAGTTATATATAGATCATAAGAGGAAAGAAACAAGAAAAACAACATTCCTAATTGGTACCAGATGTACACCATCACGAGCTGCTAACTGAATGATATCAGCACAAGAAACAGTTTGAGGGCAAATTCTCTCCAAAGATCTCTTTATTCCATCTATTAAGTCAAGTTTGCGTACTCCAAAGTTCATGTCTGACTCTGTTTCTGTTATCGAACCATTTGAATAACTCAGCATTACTGAACCATCGCAACCCTGCAAAAAACCAAACATCAGGAAATTACAGGGCTAAAACAACTGATTGAAGATCAATCAAGTATTAGAGATCCTATTCATATTTCTATGTAACTGAAATATGTTGCTAGGGGCTAGGACAGAACTCGACGCGCATGATTTCAAACTCTTGAGATGTGATTATCCCCCCCCCCC